CCCCAAAACCCCAAAACCCCAAAACCCCAAAACCCCAATAATTTTGGCATTAATTGGAGACAATATTATGATTATTAATTAATTACCAAACTGTGTTCCTTTCTATCTTCTGCCTCTTTCTCGCTTTCTTTTCAATATCCTTTGCGAGGATCCTGTCTATGTCCTTCTTGAACTCTTTGTTATGTAGAATCTTATGGTCGGTCTCCTGATTTGGGTTTTGTTCAATCTTCATTTTCTTGGCTAATTCAATTTTCTCTAACAAAGAAGGCCTATTTGCAGAAATAAAGGATTCATAAATTTCAGCTTTGCTTTCTACTCTGCTATCAAGGATCAGATTTTCTTTATTTTGCTCAGATTTAAGGTCAAGCACTTCTTTATCAGCTTTGCGTTTTAAGGAGTCTCTCATAAAGCTGTTGTTTTCTTCCTCAAATTCTTCAAACAGAAGGTTGACTTCTCTCTCAAATTTAGCGTACTCCCTCTTGTTTTTCTCAGAACTATCCTTTGGGTTACCCTGATATTCTACATAATTTGGGAAATCTTCCTCATCTTCTTTAGAGGGTTCTTCAATTTTCTGGTCCTTTTTCGCTTTTCTCTCTGTGACTTCTTTTCAGTAGAGTTCATTCATGATCTTAGTGGCTGGCCATCATCTGTTATACTGAGGATCTCCCGATTGTCTGTCTTCATCATAATCTCATTTTCTTAACGTTTCGACCCTGGCGATCACTTCAATGAAGCCAGTAAATGAAGGAGTTATTCTTCTTAGTTGAGATTTTATCATCTGATGGAAGGATTCTAGACCATTATTTGTGATCGCAAGCTCTTCAAATCTGTTAAGCTTATCGAAATAGTTCCAATCTTTGATCTTAAACACATTATCCATCCAAGTATGCTCAAAGTACTCGAAATATCTTGTGAAGGAGTTGTTCTTACTTCCATATTTTAGCTTGAGGAGCTCAAATCTTTTATACACAGTTTCTGGAGGTCTGAAGGCTAGAGCTTTTAGTGAGAATATCAGCTGTTTTGTATCTTTAAGATAATACTTCTTCCTAAGTCCACAGATTCCAGCATTTACCCATAGAGATTTTGCAAAGTGGAAGAATCATGGAACGATATCTACAGATGGGAACACATTTTTGATCGCATCCATCAAACTTGTCTCAAAATCTGTTGTAATGAATTCAGGTTTAATAGGTATTTTCTCTTTGATCCATTTCAAAGCAACTTGGTATCCTTCATATTTCTTAGTCTGCATCAGGATATGGGCAATCGGGATGTATAACTTCTTTTCTCTATGATAAACTGCCACATTCAAAAGTTGATGCCACTGACGAGGACAACATTTAAAAGTACCATCAATGAAGATATGAGGATGAGGTTGCTTAGCAACTTCTTTTACAATTTGCTCCTGAAAGTCTGAATGAAGGAATAGGAAATGCCTTGGCTTTGAATCAACCATTGTAAAAGCCATACCTCTGGCAAAAGGAGTCTTCCTTAGAGTCATTATTTTGTTAAGATCAAACATTCCAGCACCACCCATACTTGGTATCAATAGTTCCCTTTCAGTACTTATAATAGATCCTATTTCTTTTCTAGTAGGCATCTCTGCGTTTGGAACTACAGACTTGATATGTGTAAGAATTTGAGCAGGTGTCATATTCGGATCTTTCTTTATGAGAGCTTTGGTAACACTCTTAACCTCATCTCTTGTAAACTGCATTGATTCTCCTCCAATATAGCTTGTAGTAGCTCGAGCAAATTTCTTTATTGATTCTTTATCTCTAATGCAGGCATGCTCACAATAAGGTAAAGAATGCTTAAGCGCGAGTTGCCCATATTCTCCTCCAAGAGCCAAAGTGTTAACCTTCCACCTACCAGTGCATCTATAAGTATAGAACTCTTCACATGTATAAGTGCATACTCCATTACCCATCCTTCTTTCTCACTGATAAGTCAGGCCTTCTCTAATAATCATCTGTTTAGTCTCCTCGGGCTTATAAAGCTTGAAAACTTCATCAAGCCTCTCAAACTGATTTTCTTCATCGCTTGAAGATGAATCTTCTCTCTTTTTAGAAAATAGTTCATGGTATCTTTGCAAGTAAATTTCTGTGTTGTTCTTCTTGTTGATTCTTTTACCTTTGACTCTTCCTCTCCATCTGATGTTTACTACAACTTTTAGTCATTTAGGATTGCAGTACTTTAAGAGACGGTAGGCTGACCGAAGGTCATCATCTGTCTCAAGAAAGCACTTATCTCCTGAGATATCATAAAAGAAAAGGTCGAACTCTTCATAAGTTAGCGGAACTCACTCACTTGAGATGAGTCTGTCTGTTACGATATCTTTAAGCTCGTTAAGATACAGAGGCAATTCATCAATATGAGTTCTGGTTTCTCTGTAGCAAATCTTGATACAAAATTCACTACAATTTTCTAACTCTTCAAGTGTCATTGGTGTGTCCTTGCTGATCGGCTTATCCTTCTTCAGACTTGGCTCTGTTGAAATCTTGACTTGCTCATCCTCCTTAACTGGCTTAGAGCTCTTCTTGGAAGGCCTCTTGAGAGATTTTAGGTCTTTAAAAGGATTATTATGCTTGAAAATGCTCATTTTCAGATACACTAAGTTTCAAAATTCTGTGCAAGATGAGGGGTTTTGGGGTTTTGGGGTTTTGGGG